TTCTACTGCTCTGCAAAACTCCAAACCTGTCACACAAAAAGAGAGCAAGTTTAAAATACAGTTTTGTCCCATTTACACTGCCATGATTTAGCTGTAGCAGGAAACCAGGAGAAGCCAGTCTCCCAATATGGTAAAAATGAGAGTATTGCTGGGACCAGACAACGTAAACATTGCAAATAAGAGCCTCCCCACGGACAAGAGGATTTTACTGAGGCCAGGTCTACACTGAAGGGGAAGGTCAAATCAAGATTCCCGACTCCATCAATGTTAATTACATAGCTGGAGTCAACATACCTTGCTTTGAGTTTCCCCACCAAGCTCACAGCAGGAGGCAGATGGGAGCAAATGCACCTGTCTGTTTCTCCTACTGATGGGCGGTCGGTACTGTAGGCAAGGGAAGGCACAGCCGTCCCAAAACTGCCTACATTCCCAACTGCCTAAGGTGGGGGCCGCTGCCAGGGAAGGCTAGGACTGAGGCACAGCAGCTTAGCTCCCCCCAGCTGCCAGGAGAAGCAGCCCAGCCCAGCAGCCCAGCCGCCGGGGAAGTCTGGGGCTGTGGTGCAACAGTCCCGTCTCTCCATGTGACCAGGAAGGATTGGGCTGCGAGTGGATGGGGCTTGGTTCCGGGATGGAGCCTCGGGCAGAAAAGGCAGGGCTGGGGCTTGCCGTCCCCAGCTGGGCTTTCACCTGACGCCCATGCACTTATTCCTTGCAAAAGCAGGAGTACCAGCTGCTGGCAGGGGTGCACTCTGAGTTTGATTTAGTGGGTCTTAACTAGATTAGCTAAGTCAAACTCCGAAAGATTGATTGCAGCACTGTCAATCTTCTGTTTAATGAAGCCATGGCTTAAGTTTATAGCCAGGTGTGCGTCTTCACCAACCATGGTCATAATGTGATTTTTAATTATCTGCATGTGCAGAGATGTTTCAGGCTTGCTCACAAGAAGGGCTGTAACCTGATTTCCAGGCTTAAACCAACGATAACACCAGCATCAGCATCCAAACTTGCCAGCATGTGAGACAAGCCACAGAAATGTGGCACACCTGGGATTGGTTGTGTATTGTCTCCACGGCCGACAAGGGTTCATGGCTTCTAACCTGTGTTTAAAGCTGTGTTTTTGTCACTCTGAGTTAAACTGCTGATTTATTATTTGACACACAGGGTGAGAAAACTTCCTTAACGACAGGCTTTAGAATTACAGGCACGGAGTGATACGCAACAAAATGCAACAGCTCATTTGCCTACCATGCCATTCCTCCTCTCACCAACAGCCACTTCTGTCCTTCATCTCCATCACTTTTCTCATGAGGCTTCCTCTCCCAGTTCTTTACCCTTCCCTTTTCTTGCCCTTCCCAAATGAGCTAGAGGCTGAAGAGAAGAGTGCTCTTTCTCCACTCCCAAAGTAAGATGTTAGGAAACACGCCCTAACACCCTAATACATTTGTTAGTCTTTACAGTGCCACCAGACTCCTTGTTGTTTTTGAGCAAACTACCTGGAAATATCAGGGAACAGTCATGGAGAAGTGTTCTGGCAGCAATGGCTCTTCTTGATGCTCTCACTCTCCTTCTGATCCTCCCAGACTGTAGGCTCATTTTGGGAGGTGGAAGGTACAGTCAGCTCCTCACAGTCCTCCCTGGCTTTGCTCTTCTTGGGATGTAGCTGGGTAGTAGCCAGAGGCTTGCAATGGCTCCTTCCAGGTGCATGAAAAGGGAAGGTGCTGCCAACACTCACCTAGGACCTGTCATTACCTCCACCAAACATGACTGGGGGTATGTTGCTTTGACAGTGTCTCTTCTTTCCACCCCCACACCAGCTGGCAGCTGATGTGGGCTATCACCCAAATTGCTGCAGGGCACAGTACGTTGTCAACCTTAGCAATACTGTGGGATGGAGAGTCTCCAGGGGTTCCAAAGAGGAACTTTTTGTGAAATCTGTTACGGCTGAAAGCCATGGGTTGGAGTCCCCTAGGTTCCTCTAGCAAGGTTTTGCTCCCACCCCATATCAACCTAAGTAAGCTGAGAGCCCCACTAAATCAGCCTCAGTATTGTTTTCAAGAACCAAAATAGTCATTTCCACTGACATGCATTTGACATAAGAGTATTTGCTAAATTGTGTTTGTTGCATGTTTAAGTGAGAATCCAAATAAGCAGATTCCTGGTACCGCTACATGTGCACGCACTCCGGTTGTATATACGCACTCCAGCTGTGTGCACGCACTCTGGTTGTGTGGCTTTCATAGGCAAAGGAGGAAAATGTGTCTAGGGGACCTTCCTTAAAACAGCAGCAGCCCAATGCTGGTTGACACGGGCTTGTGCTGAAGAAAGTACTGCTTCATGAGGTCATACTGAACTGAGTTACCGGTAATTCTGTCAGGTGAACATGTCAGAGCAAGCTTCCATACACGTGGCTCTGTCTGGAGTGTGGTTTGTATGGTTATTGCACCCAGTAAGAGAGTTAGCCATCTGGAATTTGGAAATTTGCTTTCCCTTAGTTCAGGTTTCTGACCATAATTTTACAGTGATTACATCAACCATCACAAAAGGGACTGTGTAGTGTATGACAAAGTATCATATAGCAGAACAGATTCTCTTTCTACTAGATACAGAGGCGGCTTAATATGTATTATATAATATACTGGGTTAGTGTAAAGCTACAAACACACATTTGAAAATAATATCAGAGGGGTAGCCGTGTTAGTCTGAATCTGCAAAAGCGGCAAGGAGTCCTGTGGCACCTTATAGACTAACTGAAGTGTAGGAGCATAAGCTTTCGTGGGCATAAGCCCACTTCATCAGATGCATGTCACATGCATCTGACGAAGTGGGTCTTTGCCCACGAAAGCTTATGCTCTTACACTTCAGTTAGTCTATAAGGTGCCACAGGACTCCTCGCCGCTTTTGCACATTTGAAAATAGACGCACAAATGGAAGATTTAAGATCGAACTTTCAGTCTTAGCTCTGTTGGTCATCCTGATTCCTTGACATTCATGTTCTTTGGCATAGAATTTCTTTATTTGTTTTTAAAAAAGAAAACACATGCCAGTCCCCCTTGTAAGTTACATTATCTAGCACTATTTGTGGTAATATTTCTGGAATTAAAGTATCACTCAGCAGAGCCAGCCAGAATGCATCCTACAATGCCAAATAAAATGGTGAAAGAGATAAAATACTGTCGGAGCACCTACTGAAGACAAGTAAGACCCTTCTGAAACAGGGGAAATGTACTGTAATGTTTTGTATCTGAAGAAAGATCTAGAGTGGGAGAGAAGATACAGCACCTTTTGGAATATTCTGATTTAATTAAGCAGCCAGAGACTAAATTCAATTGTTGGGTCTCTGCACCATTAAAGTCCTATTTTGAAGACTTAAGTTGCTTAATAGGTCTTGTGCTGGCCTTCTATGAAAGAAAAAAAAGGAGTAAGCCTGTCACAGCATATGACTGCAAACTGTAAGGAAAATATTTTTGAAATTGTGACTGATACCTTGCCAAAGGCCTTTAATTATTGGTGTTACAGGCTAGTCCCCTCCTAATAAAAGAATGAACCAATCCAGTATGCATACTTGTCAAACATTTTATTTGTCATTCACACTAAGGATAATATTGAATTTACAGAAGAAACTGTGGTACAAAGAAAGAAAGCAAGTCTCCATTAGAACTAACTCAGCAGTCCTGCTGCTTGGCATGCTAGTCATAATGAATTTTCCTGTAGCACTGGACGTTGACTTCACTATGTACAGTAAGTGTCTACTCTGACGTGGTATCTAGAGACATCTTGTAGTGGGGAAATCTACTCCATTTTCTTTTCCTATCTGGCTAAAACAACAACAACAACAAATAAACCGCCAGTGCTTGAAAGTTTCCCCTTATGAAAATTGTGCAGTGTTCAAGGAAAATGTGACCATTCTAGTACATTGCAACATCTGTTTTGTAAACATATCCAGTAAATGCTGAACAAATATACTCTGATGCTGTTCTGATAGGACCACATTTCCCATTGCATTCTCTATCAAATTTATCTCACAGTCATTTCAGACTGAAAGTTTCTTTTTCTAAATGAAGTTATAACCGTCACATCCAGAAAACCACAAAGAACCCACCGTTTTTGCACATTCATTTCTCCCCTACCAAAAAAAAAAAAAAAAAAGTGAGGAGTGTTTGACAGAGACCATGCTATAACTGTTTATAAAGGTGAATAAAATGTAGTTAATTTTGAAGCCTAAAATAACTAGGTTGGAAAGAAGCAAGCATCATTACAGTATTTAGCCAACACAAGAGTAAGTTCATTAAAAACAGAGAAGAATGAAAAAAAATGCAGAATAATTACAAGCACTAACAATATTTTGCTATGTAGCTTTTTAAACTCTATTTACACACATAAATACAAGTAAGTCTGTTGATGCAACTCTTCTACAATTAGGAGAAAAAATGCAAAGTGATCAGTTCTGACCAAGCTAAATTAACAAAAAATGTTATGATGCAAGTAAACAAGAAGGTATTTTGCTCAAATAAAAAATAATAATTATTTTTGAATGTTTAAACAAATGAATGTAAAAGGTCATTCAGAAAATAGCAATGAATGTTTCAAGGACACAGGTGAACCAATGCACCCATCAACTATCTCATATCGTGGGGGCGACTTTCTGGAAATTGCTTGTTTCCCTTTCAAACAAAATTATTCATCACAAATATACATAAATGCTCAGTAGCAGTAAGACAGGGTGGGCCTGACTGCCATTTACATGAAGGCCCGCTCTGGCTGTTTAATGGGGGATTTAAAGTGGATATAAATGTAATTTACAGGGCAGTGTAAAGTCCTATATTTACTCATGTCTAATAGAAATGTCTCTGCTAAGCTGGGTTGTTTCAAACATAGTTACAAATTACCTTCTGCAAAAGGAACACACAAACACAACCCTGGGGTGGGGGTGAAGAGTGGAATATGAATGATTGTCTTTATTTAGTGGGATTAAAATCCTGAGCCATCAGCTGGGGCCTTTTAGATTTAATGCAATGACAGGAATGATAAAACTCAATTAATTTAGAGCTGCACAAATACTGGAAATGTCTTGCTTAAACTTCCTTCTTTCACCTACTAAGTGCTTTTGTACAGTCTCAAAGACACGCCACATATATTGTCCTCATCCTTTGTTGCTGATGAATACAATTCCTTAAAAACAAAGTACATGGCTACTGGGCATTAAGGGGGAGGGGGATGGTTTTCAAAAGGCAAACGTGGTTTGCTTAATGGCCAATTTATAATTTTTCATGTGGAATTGTGTACATTCTCTAGTGAATCTATAGTTTAAGCCAGGAGTAGGCAATATGTAGCCCATGGGGGTTAGCCCATGGCAGCCCACCAGATGCTTTATTTACTTTGCTTCTTCAGGTATGGCTACTCACAGCTCCTGTTGGTTGTGGATCACCATTCCCAGCCAACGGGAGCTGTAGATGCGGTGTTCAGGTCCATGCCACTTCTCACAGCTCTCATTGTCCAGGAAAAGCAAACTGTGGCCAACAGTGGCTGCAAGTGGCCATTCCTGCAGACGCATGGGTAAGTAAAGTGTCTGGCAGCCCACTAGGGGCTAACCTTGACAAACTGCGTCTGATCTGAGGAACGCTTATTGCCCATACCTGGTCTAAGCAGGGAAGAAGGCCTTTTTTCAAGGTCACTGGAAACAAGAGAGACTAGCTATGCAAACTGTCGCAAAGGCTGCTGTAAGTTCAGTATGTTCACCGTACTTTCAAAATATACTTTAATTTTTTTTTAAATACACAGTTTGTCTGTGTCTTCCACTTTTTTGTTCTTAGCAAAATACAATTATTATACTGAATTAAAAGGACAATGACTATTTTAAATAAGAAAACAACTTAGAGATTCTGCTCAGATCGTTTGAAACATTCCTCATTTTCTGCATGAGAATGACCTTGTTGACCATGTTAGATGCTTCAATTTGTAATTTGTTTTATTCCAAAGTGCTACTGCATCTGACCAAAACAAAGAAGCAAAACCTAACATACACACACACGCACACATATAGATATATATAGATATATATATATATATAAAGAAAACTTGAAAAACAATTTTTTTAAATAAGTCCAGCTGTTTTGCTGCCTGCAGCCAAGGATCTTTGTAATTCAAATCCTTTTTAACTTTTTTAAACAAACACTGATCTGAAGTCCTGCTTTCAAATACTCTTCTGAGTTGACCTGCAATTGTTTCACTAATTTAAGAGGTACATTAAATAACAATCTGATCATTTTGAATGCACACGTCAACATCAGCAGTTTGTAATTAATGAGTAGTACAACAAATGCATTCAGACCAAACCCTCCAATAAAATAGTGCCTTAAAATTTACAGTGACATCTGATATGTTTGTGCTGTTAATGATGGGCAACAGTGATGACTCCATACTAGCAGATTAGTACTATTATAATGCATTACAATTTTTCTACAGGACAGAATATTCTGTGCACCAGTTTTGAATATTCTTCCTTCAGAACTATGACCACAGAAATTTTTAACTCCATTTGTTTGAAATTCTGGTTTCCAGCTGAATCTGATAAGCACTTTTCACCTCCATTTACTTGTGATTTGTTCGTTTGGTTTATTTTTGAGTACACTGGTATGGAGAGAATCGTACTGGGAACTGTGGGTGAAGTCCTGACCCAATTTAAATCAATGGCAAACCTCCAATGAACTTTAATGGCACCAGGATTTCACCTTTTGAGTGCCAACTACTGCTAGTTTCTGTTCTTGAATAAGTGCTTGACTCTTGCTACAGTCAATAAGAAGCCCAGGCAGGATCAATAGCAGAATATGGCTCTAAATATTTGGTTGAAGGGAGAGGCATGGCACCATTGTCTGCTTTACAAATTATATACTTCCATACTGCTGATCCTTAAAGTGACACTTGATGTTGAAAGACCAGCAGAGGAAAAGAACGACTTTATAGGGGGTTTAAATGGTGGATTAAATAAATGGAGCAAATGTAAACAATATGGCTAGATAACTAGACATCACATTACCCATCATTATCTCAGCCTTTTTTCATGTTATAGATTTAACTTTGGCTGCTACCAAAAAAGAGCATATTTAAATATTAATAGTATCAACAAATAAGAAAAGTCTAAACATCAAGCATAAATATTGAGAAAACCATAATAGTACAGTAGTTGAAAATGACCTAAGGCTGTAGCCATTTCTTTTAAAAAAAGGTCCAAAAGAAAAAGTTAAATTACCTCATCGAAAAGGGGCTGATTCTTTCGGTTGACAAAGCAATAAAAAGCAAGCATGATTTTTTTTTAAAGTGAAATATTTTTGCAATGTATAAGGTGCCAAGAAAGAAATAAAAGAAGTTAGATGCAAAGCAGGATGAGTTGCATCCTTAAAAAATTAATAATAATAAAAAATCCATACTCTTTGGAATATATAACTTGGTAAAAAAGTCAATGTCCAAGATATAAAACTTCTCATTCACAGCATTGCTAAATCAGAAGCATTCACAGTTTCCCTCTGGGAATCTTCCTATACCTTCCTTATAACTAACACGTCCATATGATTAAGTATACTCACTAAGATTGTGTTAGATTGTAAATCTTAAAATAATAAGTGAACTACTCTTTAGGACTTTGTAGACCTCCAAAATCAAAGACGTTTGGAGGCCTCTGGTCCGAAAACGGCCTGGGTGTCTGTCTACCCACCTTCCTTATCTCTAGACCAACTTAAATGTTCTCCTTTCCAGAACGTCAGCCCTTTGAAAAAGGCTACTTTTCTGGAATGACATCCCTTCATTGATTGGCTAACACCACTATGTCATTCCTGAAGTACTGACTTCTGGATAGTTTGCTTCTGAAAGTGATGTATAAACATGGCAGTGCCCATAGGCAAGAAAGGTATTTATGGGATACCTATGGGCATCAGGAGATAAGAAGCACTTTAGTCCTGGCCCATCGCTACTTATAATTAATTCAATATGGTCGCCATACTGCTTCTTCCAGCCTTGCTGTGGTGCCCATGTTGGTAGGGGAGTTGCTGTGACTACCTTCGGCCTCCACCACATCACTTTGATTAGGAAGATTGGGATTGAGGAGAGTAGACCCTGTGGATGCATTAGTGCAAGGAGGAAGGATGCGTGGAGGTGACCGATCTCCTCCAGACATCATTGAGAACTGGTATGACCCTGCTGATGTTCCGTAGTAGAGATGGTACGAAGGGGAACTGGTCTGAAAGGGGCTGCCTTGAGACTGAGAAGAACCAGGATATGGAGGAGGGAGATAGGTGTGATATCTGGTGGCAGTGGTCATTGCAGACATACCGATTCCTATTCCTGAACTGACAGGCGTTGGGGTGTAGGTGAATGCTCCGGGGTAGTGCATACGAGGATCAGAAATTGAAGGAAGAGTGGAGAATGGGCGATCAATTCCCACTCTGGGATCACTGAATGCTGTTAGGTCAGGAGCACCTAGTTTTTGAGAGAAGAAAAACAAATCAAATTTAAATGGAAAGAACAAGATTTTAATGACTCGGAAAAGGATAACACTTTTTCATAGCGGATCAGTGATAGGATACTGGTAACACGGGACTCTCTGAAACTTTTGGATTCATTTCTGTAAAGGGGCAATTAAGAGGGATTGCCCCTGTCCTATGGGATTTTGTTTGTTTGTTTATTTGTTCTCATAGGACTTAATGCCTATGGAGCATCCACAGCTTCAGAGTGTTCTGTAAACATTAACAAAATAGTCATCACAGTAACTTTGTGAACAGGCCTGGCCAAAGAGTGTTTGGGGCCCAGGTGGGTGGGGCCAGAAGCTGGGCAGCGTGGGGCCCTGAATGCGCAGGGCCCAAAGCGACCGCTTCGCTCGCCTTGCCCTAAGGCCAGGCCTGTTTGTGAAGTAGTAACACGACATTAACAAATACTTTCGGAGAGGGCCAAATGGAGACACCAAAGCTAAATTATTTGCAAAGGCCCACACATTGGCAAATTTGGGACCTTGAATGTAGGTGCTGCAGATTTTCAGTCCTGCGGTTTGTGTCTTCTTGTAACCTGCCTTATTTGTCCATCTTCAAGATTGGAAGCTCCGTGGAGTAGCATCAGTTTTTATGTATACATATGTGTATTCAGCACAATATAAATAATAATAGTTGTACACACTGTCAGCATTACTGAAATTAAGAAAATCATTTCCCTTGAAGGGTACGAAGTTGGGCACTGGAAAATTGATTCTCTTGAAATCACTACAAACTTTCAAAAATCTTGGCTTTAACAAGTCAGTACAATGACATCTATTGCAGATTTGTTTCCAAGAGGGAAACTTTGGAATTAACAGAGTCAAGTGTTTTTTTTTCCCTTTTAATGGAAATGTTTCACCTCTGACTCTGCTGAACAGCCGATCTGACAGCTATCCTCTGCTGTCATTGGTTGGACACAGATGAAAGTGGGCTCCCTCCCACCAACGCCTCCTCCAAAAGGATTAAGCAACCTGAACACATAATGGTCTCCTTAAAAGGATCTTCATCCTGTCTCAGATTAACAGAAGCTGTCAGTCCTCTGACTTGGCAACTATGTATGATTAAAATAACAACAACAAGAAAACTTTCCAGAAGACAACTCCTTTCAGACAAGGTGTGGAGTCTGTCTGAAAGGAGTGGGTGTGCAGAAGGAGCACTGTGGACGAAGGGGAAAAAAAAGCAGTCTGCTCTGACTGGATTGGAAGGTAGCACAGACATTCTACAGTATCCGATTCTGAAAGCTTGTTAGCCACATAGCCAGATTTCCTCAGTGAGTTTCTAAATGTTTCTTAGAAGAACTCTCACACATGGAATAGGCTTCATTTCTGAATCTGCCAAGTTAGAAGTAGGCTGCCTTTTTGTTTAACAAGATCAGTGAATGCCTGAATACATTTCCTTCTACCACACAACATCACACTGCAATTTTAAGTTGCAGTTATACAGTATTATGGAATGGTGATAGCTAATCTATGGTGAAGGTTGACCCTAGATTCATTTTATAATCCTGATAGTCAATAACCCCTCTTTCAACAAATTCCCCAGAGAAAGACCAGTTTCCTTGACATTTCCACACCTCAGGCCAGGGTAGGGGTTGTTTCTGGTAAATATGGCAAAATCAGAAAACAAATTCCAATGTTACAGTGTTTCAAAAATATCTCTGTTCATTAGTTTGAAAATTTTCCTAACTCTTTTTTTTGTCTATTTTAGCTGCAATTATGTCACAAACTTTCAATTTGTTGTTTTGCCAACCTTGCCAAGGAGAAGGCCCTTATTGTTTTTGTGCATAAATGTGGCTTTTCCCAGGAAAGTTAAGATGATTCGAAGAGATATGTAAGTGATAATAAGTACATCTTTGAAAACAATAGTTTGAAGCATGCACAATTCAGTACAAGTCCAACAGCAGTATAGACTGTGGATCACTCTAGGGACTCCCACTGACATCAGAAGGGTCACTAACTGCTCCAATAAGGCCAAAATTTGTCACCAAAAGGCAAAGTTCTGAAGAGCTTATAGGAATGTTAGCCCTGGGGTTCTCGTTCATTTAGAGAATTCATGATTCATGATGGTGGATATCCAAGGGTACATCTAGACTACATCCCTTTTTCGGTAAAGGGATGTAAATAAGGCACGTCGATATTGCAAATTAAGCCAGGATTTGAATTTCCCGCGCTTCATTTGCATAATGGCAGCAGCCACTTTTTTTTCGAAACGGGGCTTTTTCAGAAAAAAATGGCAGTTTAGATGCAGATCTTTTGGAAAAGAAATCTCTTTTTTCAAAAGATCCTGTACTCCTCAAAAAATGAGGTTTACAGGATCTTTTGAAAAAGGGTTTTATTTCAGAAAAATCTGCATCTAAACTGCCGGGTTTTTTTCAAAAAAGCCCCATTTCAAAAAAAAGTGGCAGCCACCATTATGCAAATGAAGCACGGGAAATTCAAATCTCAGCTTCATTTGCAATATCGACTTGCCTAATTTACATCCCTTTACCGAAAAAGGGATGTAGTCTAGAGACATCCCAAATGTTGGTTCAAGACGTGGGGGTTAATGTCAGTAGATGTACCATGATAAATGACACAAAACCAGGTGGTAGGTGTTCATTCAGGAGACACATTTTTATGTTGGCCTGGAAAATTTTGCAGTGCAATTCAACAGACATAACATGATACAGTGAAACACAACACTTATAAATCCCGACTGTCCTCTATTCAACTGTATACCCCTAATCTGCTCTGATCTGCTCTGAATTCAGTGTGAGGGAAGGAAGCAGAGATGAAGCATCCATGGCATTTATTTCTTGGCAGATATTGCAGCTCTCCAGCTATCTAAACTATTTTTATAGTTTTTGCGTCTCTTCCATTTCAAAGCAGCTAAAATTTATTTCTCTTCTGATTTTTGACAGAGACATTCTGGATTACCCCATCACTCAGGCAAAGCCAAGTAAACACTTGAAAACTTTTTCTTTCAGGCTCAAAATGTATTTCCTCATGAGTTGAGTAAAAAGGTGGTAACATGCTAAGATGCGAGTCTAACCAGTGGGTATTACTGTGGTTTGGAAACAGTCATATGGCTTTGGTGGTATCTTTTTAGTGTAAATACTTTTTAGGTACTTGCCTGAGAGTCGGCTTGAGAGTTCTGCAGTGAGAGATGTCATGCCACTAGCTCTTCCAGGTGAAATTGGAGTGGCCGGGTGCACGGAGGGTGTGGCGATAGAGCCCAAGTATTGGTAGGACTGATCATAGGACCATGGAGGAGATGGCTGTACTTGCCTTGTATCTGCAAAGGAAAAGATGTATTTTAGCAAGAAAGGTTATTGCTAACCTCTATACACTGTGATCAAACATATGAACTGAACAAAATGGTTTATACAGAAACTTATTACAATTCAGATAAAACTTGCCCCTTTGTTAAGACACCTTCAGGTGAAGCTTTTTGATTGTGGTCAGGGAAAGGCTGATTTAGCGTCTTAAGGCTTAAATGACAAAGCATAAACTGTTCATGGTCAAGGTATGTTAGTATTTCGGTTGCACAGTGTTGTTGTGCCACAAAAGTAACACATCACTGAGTAGAAGATAGCAATGCTAAATTGTGATATAATTTAGAATGGGCTTTCTGAAGGATATTTAGGGAGTTAGGTGCCCAGTTCAAAGGGATGGGGGTGCGTAATGCCCTTAGGTTTACTTGAAAAACCCCAAACTTAGTTCTGTGATAACTGATTTTGTTAGAGATAGTGAATATAGAAGATCTGTCAACTTCTGGATGAACTTCAGAAATAGGAGTTCTTGTGTTAGCATCTTGGAACTGAAACATTGGGAAACCAGGATATTTCATGAGTGCAGGCTTTCAAGAGAGATTTAGGGTTCTTCCAGGTGATGGAAATGCAAACTTTTATATTTAAAAATAGGACAGAAAGTTAACCAATGTTTTTTAGCCTCAGAATTAGTTTGGCTTCAGTTTGGGACCAAAGTTTTACAGCAGGGATGAGAGCCAGTATTTATACTGATCAAAAGCAATTTGTCCATCGTAGAAACTGCCATTTTTTGCCTCTTTTTGCCAAGTGAGCATTCATATCTGGAACTGACATTTTCCTATCTTCAAAGGCTACCCTGGGCCCACATGTTTCTGAATTTCCTATCTTCAGAGGCTACCCTTTACTTTTAGGGATAACACAAAACAAGAATGGCTTGTCACTAGTTTTCCCATCAATGAGAATTTTCTCCTACCACTGAAACTGGCTAATTGTCTCTCTGAAGGAAGCAAATAGCAAGATTGGCAAAAAGCTGAAACCCTGCCCAGAATGAATACCAGCATGGAAAGAGATGCTTTCGAGTTTGAGATGAAGGACTTTGAGCTTCCATAAGAAACTGCATTTGGAGATTTTTATTTTGTTGAGTATTATGGAGATGAGATTTATATTTTATTTCTTTCATTTGTTTGGAATTGGAGATTTATGGAAAAGCAGAGCAGATTAATCTGGCTTTTTAAAAAGTTACTTGAAAGGCCACTTACAGAACAAATCTACTAAATCAATCTAGTCCCATTGATTACAATATCTATTCACCTGAAATGGACTAACTCTTGAGGGGAAACTGTACAATGCGGTCTCCTTGCCCATTTAAATCATGTGCATCTGCTGAGACTGCTATCCCACAAGCCAGCTTTTGAACCTATTTTATCAGAAAGGTGTTCTATAATCCCTATCACCGCAGAAGAATCATAGAATATTAGAACTGAAAGGAACTTTGAGAGCTCATCAAGCTCAGTCCCCGGCACTCATGACAAGACCAATCCCTGTCTTCTAGGTCATCCCTGACAGGTGTTTGTCTAACCTGCTCTAAAATCTCCAGTGATGGAGATTCTACAACCTCCCTAGGCAACTTATTCTGGTGCTTAACCACCTTGATAGTTAGGAAGTTTTTCCTAATGTCCAACCTAAATCTCCCTTGCTGCAATTTAAGCCCATTGCGTCTTATTCCACCATCAAAAGTTAAGGAGAACAATTTTTCTCCCTCCTCTTTGTAAAATCTTTCAGGTGTATGAAAAATGCTATTATATCCCCTCTCAGTCTTCACTTTTCCAAACTAAACAGGCCCAGTTCTCTCAGTCTTCCCTCATACGTCGTGTTTCCTAGACCTTTAATCATTTTTGTTGCTCTTCTCTGGATCTTCTCCGATTTTTCCAGGCACCCAGGACTGGACAACGGAGACATAATCAGTGCAGAATAGAGTGAAAGAATTATTTTGTGTGTCTTGCTTATGCTACTCCTGCTAATACATCCCAGAATGTTGTTCACTTTTTTTTTTTTTTGCAACAGCATCACACTGTTGACTCATATTCAGCTTGTGGTCTACTATGACCCCTAGCTCCCTTTCCGCAGTACTCCTTCCTAAGCAGTAATTTTCCATTTTGTATGTGAACCTTCGCACGTTGAATACTTCACATTTGTCCTTGTTGAATTTCATCCTGTTTACCTCAGATGATTTCTCCAGTTTGTCAGGATCATTTTGAATTATAATCCTATTCTTCAAAGCAGTTGCAACCTTTCCCAGCTTGGTATTGTCCGCAAACTTTATAAGTGTGCTCTCTAATCATCAATGAAGATATTGAAAGAACCGGTCCCAAAATGGATTCCTGCAGAACCCAACTAATTAAGTCCTTCTAGCATGACTGTGAACCACTGATAACTACTCTCCGGGAACCATTATCTACCCACCTTATAGCAGCCCCATCTAGGTTGTATTTCCCTAGTTTATTGATAAGAAGGCCATGTGAGACTGTATCAAATGCCTTACTGAAGTCTAGATAAGCCACATCTACTGCTTCCACCTTATCCTCAAGGCTTGTTATCCTGATCAAAGAAAGCTATCAGGTTGGTTTGACATGATTTGTTATTTACAAATCTTTCTTTACAAAGGAGGTCCCTAGTGGGCTTTCAAAAACTGGTGTTAGCAAGCTGAACACTGAAATACACACTCTACCCCTCTTTTAATGCCAGTACAACTACCTCAGTGCTGTGCCCTGACCAGAAACACAAGAGTGGGATTTTTTTGCAATGCAGATGCTGCCCACTCACAACTGGACAGAGATTACCAATATATTTGACCTAGCCTATTAAAGATCCATTGTCAATTACTGTTGACCTGCTGTGGATGGGACTGCTAATCAAACGTATATTTTGTTACCTGAATTCCCAAAGACATAATTTTCATTAGCAGTTGTCCTAGAATGGCTTTAAAAATGAAGAGCTCTGATTGGTTAGTAAATAGAGTTCCATTTAATGACACAAATGCCACATAACCACAATATTTGGGTTAGAAACTCACTGATCCATCCGACACTTTTTTTCATAGTCATTTACTAACAAAGAAAGTGACAAAAATAGCACTGGAAAATTCTGTAGGTGGTTTTTTTTTTTTGAGAGAGAGGGGAGAATTCTGTCACTGTTTCAGTATTTAGGACTTTGTTCAACCCCCACAGAAGCCAGTGGGAACACTTCCACTGACTTCAAAGGGAGCTAGAAATGTTTCTGATAGCCTCCTTTCTTTAGGACCCAACGGTAAACTTTCAGTTTATCTTAACTTAAACCACACTGAATGATACAGCTTGAGGCAAAAGGAGGCTGTTTAAAGAAATACTTTTCCTTCCTCAAATTCACCACTCTCTCTCCCAGAGTAAAGTTTTAAATTTCTTATAATGTAGCAACTTAGGGCGGGGGAATGGGTGTGTTGGGGAGGGAAGGAATGAGTGAGTGTATTTTTTGTGTGCGAGTATGCACACAAAAGGGAGAGAGAAGTTAAATATATAAAAATATGCTTTAAAAAATATGAATTTCTCCCCAAACCACAGTAACTCCAAAAGAATCTGCAGAGCTATTCTGGTTTAAATCCAAAGGCTATAATAGGGACTTTTGGGTCTTCAGGATCTTATTGCCAAATAAGATTGCAGAATCATTTAAAAGGAGATTGAAATTGCACAAAGTTAGTGAAGTTGCACCTGTTTACACCGATTTGAGGATCTGGGCCCACATCTTTCTGAATATCTCCTATTAGCAAGTACTTTCATTTCTACTGTTCAGCGTACGAGAAAATACATGTCACAAAATGAAAGCGGTTAGTAATTGCAATAAAACCCTCCAGGGCAATAATTACAGTGCAGTAATTCACACCTTGCTGTGTAGTCACTAGCTCTCAGCCTCCTGCCTAACAAGCTATTAAGCATGAGGTATTGGACCATCTTTCATGCCTCATCATGTTGTATTGCCATGAAAAAAGTTATGATGTTTGGCTTTAAAAAACAACTTATAATTATACAGTGCCAATGTTGCATAATGTTTAATGGTTAATAAAATAAGCTGTGGTAAAAGACTCAGACAAGAGGGTTAAAATCTCTTCCCTCCCACATTGCTCCCTGTGGTCTCTTATTTAGCATGTTTCTAATTATTATTGCTGTGAGAAATCAAAGTATTTGCAGAAGCTTGGCATCTTCAAAGAACATTGGTAATTCTGCCTTTCCACCTGAGAATTCCTGGCAATGGTTTGTCACTTGGTGGCGCTAGAGAACTTCCAGCACAGGCCCCATAATTGTTAGTGAGTATTTCAGCTAATGTGAGCTTGGCACCGAAGCACTGCACTACAGAAGGATCATCATTGTCAAAACAGTGGTGATTTTCCAGTACTGTATGATCCCAACTGCAAACAGTAGTAAAGTTGACTTTAAGCCCCGATGCAAAACCCTATCTTGCACAGACAGCTATACTAAGATCTGACTAAGCCATTTATGTTAAACTTGTAACACACTAGTCCTGCACAGCCCACAACCTGTCTGGTGCAGCTGCCTCTGAAAAGTGACTGAAAAAGTAGTGTCTTCTGACGTAGCAGCTCTGTTCCCTATGTGTATTCAGTCTCCTTGCGGGTGAAAATCAACAGTTTCACAGACTTCAGTAGAACTATGCCAATGTATCCAAGCTGAGGATTTAATCCCTTTGTTGTGGCACTAGGTGGCTCTGTTTTCACTGCCCACTCATTTCTAAAGGTAAAAAAACAACCACCCATATTGAACTATGGGAGGGAATCTACCTAAAAGATCTTACAATCTAAAACTTAATCATACCTTAATGACATTGGATGTTTCAGGTGTAAATGGTCAGTCAGATATGGAAATCAGAGAGTTGGTACCACGGTGCCTACAAGAATGAAGAGAACTTAACTCATGAATTTCTGTCTTGTCTATGTTGGATAGGATAGGATAGGGTATGGTAGGATATGTTGCGGTTGAAG